GATAATAATGCTTTGTAAGACACAAGTGCTCTCTAGGGTGGTATATTGCTGCACACTAACAGCCTCATTCAAAGCTGGAGAAATTGCTGACTTGGAGAAGGTGTAAAGGTATTTTACTATAGAATCCATTCAATAAAACATTTAAATGATTGGGGTCGCTAGAACATTTTTAGCCTGTATTCTCTAAGAGTGCAGTTCAGCAAACACAATTAACAGTCACTTTAAGCAAATATGCTTAAAGTGATACCTGCTACCCCGGTTATCAAGTATCTCCCTCTCCCACACTACCTTGGAAATAAATTCTCTTGGGCGCTAGGAGACTGGAACCACAGACCTCCACGAGTGTGAGATGGAAGCTCTAACCACTGTACTATGAACAGCCTTAATAAGGACAGGTTCTAAAAGTAACTAGCCACTGCCCAGCTGAAGTTTTATACTTTCCCCTGACTGCTACTAAAGCACAGAGGAATTTGTGCTCCATGCCCACGTCACATAAATTCGAGTCTCCTACTGCCCAAGTGAATTATTTCCACAGTTGTGTGTAGAGGAGAATGCATAAAGAGAGGGAATGAGGAACGGGGAGAGAGTGATAAAGATGGAGAGGGGAGGAGAAAGAAAACATAGGAGAGGAGAGGGGTGAGGTTGGGAGAGATTGCTCCCCAATATAGGGGATTTTCTATTAGCTACCCCATGTCAGCAACAGGCACTGTGTCTCAAAATGCAAACCCTCCTTAGTGCAGTGGCTCTCCACATTGATCCCCCTATAGTCCACGCTAAATGTAGGGATATTTACACGAGACAGAGGCTGACAGATGTGGTCCGTATGGCCTGCTCTCCCAAAATACTGGAGGCTGGCTGGCACTTGAGGCATCATGAAGACAATGACATCATCAAGGACCTACCACAGCTGGGTGCCCAGCAGAAAGAGCCTCGTTAATGTCCTGCAATTCTGCCACTCTTGCTGGTCATCCAAACAGGATGACTTCACCGCCGGATGAATGGTTAACAGGTGGCGTAGAAATGTCACCTTGGCTGACACTTACATTAAATTCAGTATTGAGCAACCAAGTTGTGCTGTTGCCCACAGTGAAGTCCCATAAATACAAAATACTGGATTATCACTACAGTTTTTGTCCCCAGTACTTCTGAAACCCTTAATACCTGGGGTACCAGTGCCTGAGGTTTCTCAAGGATCCGGGTTCTAGGCTCATTGAAACAACAAGAGACCCAAACGTTGCCAACTTAGTTTTCCAGCGCCTCAGTGTGGTAATACAGAGGGGGACATACACGCCGCATTCTTGGTTCCTGCCCAGCATGTGTAGAGCTTGAAGAGCTCTGTAGTTATAGCAGTAATAGTAGTAGTGATATACTTTACTCATATACACATGCACACCTACACCCACACACCTGATGACTCCCCACACCCAAAGTGCCTCCACGTGCACACGCACATAAACCAATCCAGCTCAAGAAAAATAAAACAGTTTTTCTTGGGAAATTCCAGTTTTTATCCCCCATTGTCATGCGGACGGAGAGATGTTTTTCACCCATTGCGAAAGAAGGAGAGGCAGTGGGTGTTTGTGAAGGACAGAGGACCGTCCCGCTCACGCCTCCAGAGTAAACACTACACGGACCAGGAAGTCATGATGGATTCTCATTTGATTCAACATTCAGGGACACTGTTGGGTTTTCTCCCATTACCAGTTATTTGACAGAGCGGTAGTTATTATTATTAATAACATTATTGTTATTTTTGTTATTTAATACTACTATTATTGTATTATTAGGATTTAGGATTTTATTGATATTAGTTGCTAGTATACTTGGTTTTTAAGGACTGTAACTGCACTTTTTATGTGATTGTGTGTAATAATGCAGGCTTTGTTTAGACTTATTTGTTCTTATTAGTATCTGCAGTTTGTTCTATAGGAACTTTTGTGGTACTGTACTTGTTCATTATCAAGATGTTTGAACAGTTGAAGTGATTGTGTGTTGTGGTTCGTCAGCTTGGTACAGAGAGACAAGCTCTTCCATAATGTGTGTGTTTGGTGTGCCAGTAACGAAATTGTTGTTCGCGCACTGATGATCTGTCTGGTAGTTGCTTGAACCACCTCTCGTTGGGTAGTTTATTCTTAATGGAGGGAGATGTTGTGAGGCTAAGTGGCAAGCACGTACTTTGTCGACCTTGTGTAATACATACCCTCTGTCCACATATTATTATTATTATTATTATTATTATTATTATTATTATTATTATTATTATTATAAAGCTGCAGTGAATGTGTTAAAGTGGTTACTCAGTAGACAGTGTTTAAATGTTTCATAAAACTACTATTTATGACCAACGTCTTGGACATAGCTTAAGATAATGAATGACTTGGTTTTACATTTTTGGGGTAATTAATCTACTGTTGTATTGGCGAGGGGATGTAGTGCAACTGTAGACGAGTATTCAATGATAAATTGTGATTATCTTGTGGTATTTCCGAGGATCAACGTCCCCACGGCCCGGTCTCTGACCAGGCCTCCTGGTTTGTGGTCTGGTCAACCAGTGTTGGATGCGGCTGCTCGCAGCCTGACCCGTTTTCCTAATAGAACGTCGTATTTTGACGTATTCTAAGGCCAAAAATCGTTGTACTAGAAAATGATAGCGGCTCGCGAAATTGACATACTGTCCCGTTTTCTGTTTTATTCCTCTGGTAGGTTAGGATAAAGTCACGTAATTACCTCAGTTTCTTGACTTGTGGGAAACCTTCGGTGGACGGGCTGGAATCACAAGCTGGTTGATCAGGTATCTTTTAGAAGCGTTTAGCGAGTTCTCTTTTGATGCTACAAAATAGCTGGAATTGGGGAAATGGAGGAAGCATTTGGAGTGTGTTGCCTGGTTATGCAACTTACCTGGAGTGGGTTCTGGGAGGTCTCCCAGATCCAACAAGTTGTTGCTTGGAGCGGCCCGCAGGCCCACATATCCATAAATGCTCAACGTCATTGTGTCATTGACTATGAGGCTGTCCAGTCACCAATACATCATTGTGTCCAGTCAAAACACAGTTCCAACCCGCCATTGTGTGCAGACAAAATACAGCCCCATATTGTCTTCGTCACACACCAGCATTGTTTTCCGGGTGTTTGTTTATGGTGTGTGTATATCTCTCATTCAATTGTTCAAATACAGACAATGTAGACATTCCACCAGTGTACCCCACTTAGTGTGGGAGGCGCGTCCTTCTCTTGTTACTGTGGGACGGAAGTGTTGGGGTCTGCTGTTGGTGGCGGAGCAGAATTAAGTCTGGAAACAAGGAATATAATCAGAGAGAGAGAGAGACAGACAGACAGACAGAGACAGACAGAGAGGGGAGGGGTTGACACAAGGGGAGCCCCTCCTCGGGGACAGTGATCACAGACGGGATACCAAACATTCTCACACTATCTGGATAGTTATCTAGATATTTGTGATGGTCTGGAGGCATATGACAAGGCAGAGCTCTCAAGACGTCGTCTGCTCCAGTACCCACCTGTGTAAAAGGAATACAACAAAATATAAAATCTTTGTGGTGTGACATTTGTTCCCGCTTCTCCCAGCACTAAACATAAATGTCAACATAAAACTGACATCTCATGGAGTCTCTTTACATTTTCACCAGCGGGATTTTTGTTTTTATCCATTTCTGATTCTTGGAAAATGTTTCAGGGACGAATGCATTTTGTGTTGTCACTTCGTAACTCGCACAGAACCGGCAAAAGCCTTGCCTTTTGTCTGTCATCTCTTGATACCTCACTGACTGCGCAGTTTAAAATCACTGCCAATCAGTGCCCCATAGTAAACATTTGTCTAGTGTTGTTGTGGTTTCACTGCTGTTGTATCAGTCGTTGATGACGCGTTAACGATCATGTTGAAACATCTTCTAATAATAATAATAATAAATAATAATAATAATAATAATCACACTAACACTAATATTAAAAACAAACAGAACGACACGCCGTATTTACTGTTTTTTTCTGCGAATACAAACTCATTTTGGAATTTCTTGTTGGCGGATTTAGATTTTTTTGGCGGATTTGGATTTTTTATTAATGGAAATGGATTTTTTGTTCGCGGATTAGGATTTTTTTGGTGGATTGGGAATATTTGTTGGCAGATTTGATTTTTTTGTGACGGATTTAGAGTGTTTGCTTCTAAATTTAAAATTTTGTTGTTGGGGGATTTGGACTTTGTGTTTGTTTGAGGATTTGGAATGTTTTTGTTGACGGCTTGCAATTTTTTTGTAGGCGGACTTGGAATTTTTTATTGGAGGATTTGCATTTTTTTAGTAGGTGGATTTGGAATTTTTTTGTTGGCAGATTTGGATTTTATTGTGGATTTGGATTTTTTGTCGGCGGATTTGGAATTTATAGCTAGTATAATTGGAATTTATTTGTTGCTGGATTCGGAATTTGAAGTCTTTTCCCATACTTCGTGGGAAGCTGATTCCTTCCCTTTCCTATAGTTACATGTGCTGTCTAAAGTCAATTATGACTGTCAGCTCTTGGTCCGTGCACCATCCTGGGACACGCCTCAGCTCCGGTGCCTCAGGTTCGTCCCCTACCCTGAAGCTGTATGAGGAAACCAGCTCTTATCTCAGTTGTCCTGGCTTCACTTGTCAAAATTTGTGTCCGGGAAGAATTTTAAAATTCTCCAAAAGTCCAGAATTTCGGCTTCCCCCACTTAAAAATTGTATATATACTGTATACATACATGTATATTGAAGTTTGTGAAACAGTGAAGCAGAAAAAAATTAAGCTTGTGGTACAAAGCTCTCAAGTAAACTGTACTACCTGTAAGCTTGTGGTACAAGTAAATAATTATCAAAGAAGGCACGAAGCCGGGAAGGCTATGTAGCACCATAGCTTGTGGTACAGTGCAACAATATATAACCCAACTTTCTCTCTCTCTTCGCCACCAAGAGGCCATTGCTTCAGTGGCCTGTGTAATAATCCCAGTCTCTCATTCTTTACAGTCTCGCAACTCCGGAAGTGCCGCGTGGACGTCAAAGTGGAGCTCGATGAATGCCTCAAGCAGTCTCTGGAGGACCTCCGCCCCACGTTCCGTACAGGTATGTTCTTATCTCCCGCTGCGTATAATAATGCAGCAGGAGATACAGTACTATCAGAAGATATAATACATTACAGAAGAATGCAAATACTCTCCCAGTATTTTGGCGACTGGGATAGTACCCAACCCGTGGGCACATGTTGGGCAAACAATGTTGATTAAGCATTGAATCAATGTCGATAATGTTGTTTATTGTTATTTTAGCGTTGTTTAGGCATATTTTGCCATCTGATATAGTACCCAAGCACCTTATTTATCAGCCATACGACTAATTTGTCTCCTGGCATACATGTATAAGAATGAAAATTAAATTTAGAATATATTGTGCCTTTTATATCAGATACTGGTCTTGGAATAACAGTTAAGTGTAAGTTGCCTTATTCTGTTGAAAAAGTGCATTGCACATTAGTTGTAGTTAATATTTTGTAAATATTTGGTTGTACTCACCTAATTGTGCTTGCGGGGGTTGAGTTCTGGCTCTATGGTCACTGACTATTCATTGTGGTCAATATTTTGTAAATATTTGGTTATGGTTACTATTTTATAAATATTTACAAGCTGCCTCCTCTGCAGGTATTCGTGAACTGTCACTGCCGCCCCTGGAGCCTATGAGCATCAACAGCATTGTGTTCAACCAGGGCGCTGGAGCAGTAGCTGTGGAGGCAACCTTCACCCAGGTTAAGGTGACGGGTCTCTCCAACTTCACAACTAAATTTGTCGAGTGAGTTTAGAGCTAAGTGAGCACCATACATGTTGAGGTCTTTGCGGCTATAATAATAATAACGGTTGTCAGATAACCTTGTACTGAGGTTCTTCCTAGGTCGAACTACTAATGTTCCCCAAGATGCAATCTACAATAGTTGCCTAACTCCCAAGTGCCTGCTTACTGCTAGGTGAACAAAGGCTTAAAGATTAAAGGAATCGTGGCCATAATTTGTGTCTTCACCCATAAATCGAACCAAGAATCCTCGATTGTAAGTAAAAAAATGTAGAGCACTGTACTACAGGTTGTGACATTATGCAGGCAACTGGATATATGTTCATGTGTCAAGAACAACCCGACCTCTTAACTTATGTCTCATTTTGTATGCTATGGTCCCCCTATACAAAAAAATATAAAATAAAAACCCCATGGTTTTACATTGGAACCCCAATGTAAAACATCCAAAGTACATATTATAAAAAGTAGCACCTCACAAATATCCATTTTTCTATATGTAAGTGGGTCAGGTTAAGTGGGTTGCTTGGGTTTGTATGTTTCTGGGTAGGTTAGCAGTTTGTATTGTGTACAAATGAAGAGAAGGGGGTAATATACAACCTACAATCCAGTTCTAACTTCTTGTACTGGTCATACCCTCACACACCCTATTTTGTGCATCTATCTTCCCTCTGGTCCAACACCACCTGCCTCCCATTTGGTCTAAGTCCAACACCTGCCTTCGGGTGTCTCCCTTGCTTATGTCCCTTCTCTAATAAAAAAGAACAACAACCACCAAGAACACCTGTCCCACAGTTCCTTCACATTCACCTCTTCCCCTGATTAACATCAATATTTGTTTCTGTGTAATCATCACTAATTCTTGTGTTGTGCCTGCAGTGCTGATCCGACGGCAGAGAAGCTGACTGTGAGTCTGTACGTGCCAGAGCTGGACATCACTGGCCAGTATAACCTCAAAGGACAGATTTTCTTCCTCCCCGTCACTGGGTCTGGTCCCTTCGTGGCTAATTTCAGTTAGTTTCATTATTTTTTTGTCTCTGTAGCATTACACCTAGTTGTGCCCCAATATCCAATACAGTATGTATTTTTGTAATTTTTAGTCATAAATACACTCTTGGTAGTTTTCAGTCTAAGTATAATAATTTTTTAAGTGCAACATTTGCACATATACCGACTTTATTTTTATATTTACTGCATAATTTTTTTCAAAATTACTGAACTACACTATTGCTTTTCTGAGAAATATTCAAAGTTTGACTAATGTGAAATTTAGGCTTACTACATCTTATAATTTACATCTTTTATAAATTCAAAGCTGTATGAAATATGATTCTGTGGCATAGACATTAGCCACTTGTTATTCTGTAATCTTCCTTTGACGAAAATGTGGCAGCTGTTTAAATACAAGATTCTTGAAAACACGACACTCATTAAATTATGAATTAATATGTATTGTGGTTGTAATAACGAGACCTTCACACAAGTGCATTAATTGTTAATGACTTAGATTCATTCATCACATATTTTGACAAAATTATATTTGTTGTTTGTTTTGAGTTAACAGTAGGTAAATAAGGGGGTAGGTACTTGACTGCACCTCACATTTCTGTAGAACACTCAAGAAGTAGTTAATTATAAGTGATATTAATGTCTTTCACAGACATAATTACACAGGATAAGAAACCCATTCTTATCGTACTGTATGTATGTATCGATTTTATGTAAAGATCATCTGAACTACACTGAATCTTTCTCATTCTCCTGAATGGAGTGCATTATCAAGGTCTGAGTATATGGTTTGGACAAGACTTGGATTTCAATGACATTGATATGTATGTCTTGTCCAAACCATATACTGTACTCAGACCTTGATAATACACTCAGGAGAGTGTAAAAGACTTGGTGTAGTTCAAATATTTATATAAAATACATAAGTTTGGGTTTTTATCCACTGTACATTATACAGTATCCAGTTATTTATTAAAACAGGCAATACTGTTTTAGATTTCATAAGAAGCTTTCCGGGGCAGTATATTTCAGATTTCAAGTAACACTCTAGGAGACTTGAACCTTGGATCCCGTGTGTGTGAGGCCCAAGCTCATTTTATTACTCAATTGTTAACACAGTAGTAATAATATCCACAATAATGGATATTATCTACAGTAATAATGATATAAGATATACAGGTTGTCAGTACCCACATGACATTTTGGATGAGCCATCAGTGTTTTATTACATATTAATCAACACACAATTTTAGCACTAGATCAGCAGTGGAAGATGTAAAGCTCTCAGTTGGAACAAGTATGACGTTTGTCTTTCCTTACCAAATTTTTACTTCTAAAAAGCCACAACTTACAGCATATGGCAGTAATGCAATTTAAATAAATGTATTATTTCTCTTCTAGTAATAATACATATTTATTTTATTTATTTATATACAAGAAGGTACATTGGGTTTGTGAGAATACATAGCATGGTACAGTAATTGCACTCTTGTAAAGCCACTCGTACGCGCAGCGTTTCGGGCAGCCATTATTAGCCATTATTAGCCATTATTCAGGCTTACATAAATACATATGTATTATTCATCTTTTTCAACTCTAGTATTATTCAACTCTAGTAATAATACATATGTATTATTACAGTAGTAATAATACATAGGTATTATTACTACTGTTTACAAGAGAAGTGAATGAAGATTTCTCATTTGGAGTTTATTTTTAATATTATAAATTTGTTAGTGGTTGTGGCAATAATTTCAGAAATGTTCATTATTTCTTATGTTATTAATTATAGAGAATGTGTTTCAGAGGGTGTTGATGCAACAGGAGACAGTCAGTTAAAGGTGGCAAGAGGCGGAGATGGCGTGGATCGTCTGAGTGTGACCAACACAAATATTGACTTCACAATCCGTGACCTTAACCTTCGTCTTGACAATCTCTTTAATGGAGATCCAGTCCTCTGTAAGTTTCTCTATCCACATATATATTATGTCATACCTAATAGCGAGAATGCACTACTCGGCCTAGTATGCAAGGCCTGATTTGCCTAATAGTCAGAATGATTTTTGTTGTTTTCACTTGGATTATTTGATTTAATATTATAATATTATATTAAGAACATGAATTACTGACTTAGTTATGTTTGTTTAGGTTAGGTTTGGTCATATTTCTATGTTTTAACTCAAATAAAAAAATAAAATCATATATAATACAATGGAAAGCTTTTATCATTTCATAAGATAAAATTTTGAAAAATATAACTTCAGGAAAACTCTCTCTTAAAGATAAGTAATGATTATTGAAGGATATATTTTCTACAATGTTTTGCTCTGAAATATCCCTTCATATAATAATATACCCTTCAGTAATCATTAGTTTCTTTACCATGAATTTTGGTAACTGATTGCTCATTTATTGACGTTGGTTCAATGTTTTAATGTTGAATTAGTTTTATCAATGTTATTGATGTTGATCATCATTATCAATGTTATTGATGTTGATCATCATTATCAATGTTATTGATGTTGATCATCATTATCAATGTTATTGATGTTGATCATCATTATCAATGTTATTGATGACTGGGTTGACCCCAGGCATTTACTTTTCAGTAGTCAACACTACATGCATTTTTGTAATTTTGGTAGCTTGTCGAGCCCTTAAGCAGTACAGTACTCTATTGTTAGCAAACATATTGAGATGTTTAATATTTTTCTTAATTTATCCAAGAGTATGAGTGGAACAAGTGACCAACACCAAAATATCACTGCTGTGCATCAGCACAGTCTGGTTGCCCACTGAGGAACTAACGTCTTGTGACCGAGTGCACGGTCTTAACCCAGTAGCCAGACAAATCTGAATATTATGTCAACTAATAACAAGAAGTTGAAGAACTAATACTAGAGTATATTATTTCATGCTTTCACAGTACTGCTTTAAGTAACTTATTTTTATATGATAAAAATTGCAGTTCAGATTCCTTTCAGCATTTCTAAAGAACAGTTATTGATTCAGTAATTTTAGAGGCATATATTTGTACTTCAGTATTGCTTTGTTGAAAGGTTACTGATGTTTTTCTTCATGTTTGTTTTACTGATTCAGCTCGGACGATGAACCTCTTCCTGAATGACAATGGTCAAGAGATCCTGCAAGATGTGAAGCCCGAGGTGACCAGACAACTTAATGACCTGGTGCAGAAGGTCATGAACGATGCTCTCTCCCAACTCCCTGTCAGCTCCTTCCTCCACACTAATTGAATGAGCCCTTCAACATGATCATTGTTAAGATCCTGCTTGCAAGATGATGCCAAAATTTGACTGGATCATGGTAGAGCTCTTTTTGTGTACTGTATAGGAATACTGTACTGAACTCTTGAGGTCTTGAATGTGTACATTTTATAGTGTAAATTGCAAAATTTTATGTACAATCTGATTAAGATTAATTACCAAATTCATACATGACAATTGACATTTAAGTATAGTACCTATTAAGAATTTGCAAATACAGAATATTTGTACTACTATATTGTTTATAAAGTATTTCGAGAAAAGGATGAAATTGGTAATGACTTTGGGTAGTGTATTAATAAAGTTGTCTTGTCACAAATCAGTATTATATTGGTGCTCTGTGCCCAGTTTCTTTAAATCACTTTCCTGTGTCTATGAAGTTATTTTAATATTTTGTATTTAAAGTTAGAAACCCGGTTGTCCTTGGTCAACTATAGAACTTTCTCTGGGAGGAGTAAGGAAGGTACTCTTCCTCCTAGTTTTCTTTCTACAGTCAGTATTTACTGCCTAGCATCACATGGTCTCTGCCTTACCTGAATGTACCTAAGGGCCACCATCTTTCTAGTGCTCTCGATGGGGGACAGTGGCTTATCAAAGGTCCCCCCATTGTTCCTGAGGATTTTCTCAACCTGATTTTGAACTTAGCATTATTAATCGTTTGCACATTTTGTTTCAATCTTTATCTGTTTTCCCTGCATTCCTTCACCATATTCTGCATGTATAAATGCTAAGTTTTATATTTCTTGTATAGTTTCATGTGGAAGTACAAGCAACTAATTACAGTACAGTATTTTATAATCAAACACACTTAAGAAAATTTGCATATATTTTGTTTTGCTATTGATTGAGGAAGGTTTTGAGAGTAATATTTTACTTTAAATATGGTCAAATGTTTAGACATGTAGGATTTCATAATTGTTGCCATGTTGCAGATCAAGAACAACATTTCTTCAGAAGCTGATAAAATATTAATTTAAATTAGGTAGACCCCCTCAACTATTGCAGGTGTACCAAATTTTAATAACAAACTTCGACTGCGCATTTGTATGCTTATGATGATTATGCGCATTGTTAAATAATTAAATATGTACATGTACATTAGCAAGCTTTGTTTTGTGGAAGTTATTCATTTGCATTAAGCAGCAATATGTTAACTGAATTGTATGTAAAGTTTGGTTGCACGAGTACTTCTTGAAAGAGGCATTCTGAGTGTTGTAATAAAGCATACAGTATTCCTCTCAAGCTAAAGTGCTCTCTAAAAGTATAGTTAACTAAGTATTTTTGTGTCTATATCTTGAGGAAGTATTGAATGCACCAACCACCAGTGTCCCCAACTCACTAATAAGTAAATCTTAAATTTATAAATGATGCTGATTCGTACAGCATTGGATCCTGTACATTAATATTTCATATACAGTATTGCTGTTTTAAGATCAATTGATCAAACAGACAAAAAAAAATATTCAGATATTCACACTCAAAAAGATTGGCAGCTTGTATAAATTTAAACTAAATTTGTTTCTCATAGTTTGTGTTCATTTTCAGTCACAATTGTACTCGCCTAGTTGTGCTTGTGGGGGTTGAGCTTCGGCTCTACTCCCACAAGCTCAAGATCTTCAATTGTCTGAGGATCTTATAAAAAAGTGGAATCAGATTGGTTAATTATGGACCCCATACACATCCTTTGGGTAGTGGCAATTTTTTTTTATTCATATACAGTGTAATCGTTTTAAGAACCAGACAAAAATGTACTGGTAATTTAAGCAAAGCAATTTGAATTTATAGTGGACTAGTTACATCCAGTTTTCATCTGTAAACCATGCAACATGAGCATTCAAAATATGAATGCATTTTAATGTTTTAAAATTTTGTTATGGAAATATAGGTACAGTACAATACTAGTAGATGAAACTGAATATTTCAAAGGCAGTATGTGAAATTTTGTGTTTTCTTAATAACTAGGTGCATTTTTTGGGCTATCAAAATGAAGAGATGTTTAAATTAGGTGTGTACTCACCTATTTGTGTGTGTGTGTGTGTGTGTTGGGTCATTAGGTTGGATGATGTAGCCCTGAGCATTACTGTATCTTAAAATAAAAATGGTCCAATGTTGCTGTACAAATAAAGTTTTTATATATAATTACAGGGCTTTGATTTATATCCCAAGTTGTTTAATTATATATGAAATGACTGGTATGAGAGTCGACTTCGTTCAGGAGTAATTTTAGTCACTCAGCCTTGAACTTTCTCCAAAGCAGATATGTCTTACTGAAGATGAGGTCTTTTACATGGATGACTGGCTTGAATATATGTACGCTTGATTATTCCTAGGATTTGGTTAGATTTTTTAACTGCAGTTCCCACTTATTGTGCAACTTTCAATTGATGGATCATTGATATATATCAATGAGAAAATCAGCTAAAACTGGAGTGTACGGTTGATGAACTATACACTAGAGTATTTGGGGGTTATATGTAAAACTTTTACTGGCTTCAGTAGAAATCTCCAGACTTCCTGTGGATTCAGTGGAGTCCCAGGTTTTATAACTTAGACCAAGTCAAATGCCAAAACACTGTTGCTATATATGATCCAAATAGATAAAATCATCAGGACAAATGGGGAACCTTTGATAAGCTGCCGCCTTCCTGTCTCCATCAAGACCACTAGGGAAATAGTTGCCCCTCAGGAAAATAGACTAATACATTATAGAATCTGTAGTACATTAAAGTTTTTAACATTATTAATAATAGCAAGGATATACAAAGGTGAATTTAGAAAATAACTAGAACATAACAGAATAAATTAGCAAGGTTGTAAGGTTTAAAAGGGTAAACACTTGATAATTAACAGGAATATGCAAGATAACATATACGACTTTAACAGGCAATATACCCAAGATAAATAATTTAATTAGATGATACTTAATAATGACAGGCATAGACTATACTATGGACAGTAGTTTTACCAAGAGTACAGAGGGTAGTTTTTAACATTAATTATTAGTATACATGTACTGTACTTTACTATACCTTTTGATGAAATACTACATGGAAGACTGGCAAGAAACTCACAAGCACATGGAATAAATGGTAGAATACTAGAATGAATCAAAACAACGGTTAAAACAAGTTAAGTAAAGGGTCGTGCAAAACATAAATGAAGCTGACTGGAGAAGTGTGGTGAGTAGGGTACCACAAGGGTAGGGTATGACAGTAAAAAATAACAAAAAACTGTTTACACCCACTTTTTTTTTTTTTATATATACAAGAGTTGTTACTTCCCGAGCTTGTGCTCACCAATAAACAATTAAGGTGCCATCTATTCTAATGTCACACAACGTTGAAGATGATACAATAGAATGCCTATTAACACGAGAATCATTAATACCGATTGTTACGTATATTTATATACGATTTTTGGCCCTGTAAATGCACACTTCATTCATTCATTGTCCCCAAACGATTAAAAAATATATGCAGTAGAGCCCTGCTATAATAGCAGATGCATCCAGTCACGCCAGCAAATAAGCTCTACGAGTATCATATGTGTATAGCAGTTCCCGGCTGTTAACGGCAAACGAGCGACATGTTTGTGGCTTGGAAACTATACCATTTGATCATTAAAATATACATAAGAACATAAGAATTCAGGAAATCGCAGAAGACCTGTTGTCTCACACATGGTAGCTCCTATATATATTCACAACCCAGTGTATTTTGTTGTATATATATATAGATATAGATATATAAATAAATGAAGATGATTCCTTCTGAAGATGTATTAATATACGAAACTACTTAAGGAAATTATATTTCTATTCTTCCTCGGTGGTCTGACACTGTCAAATAAGATAAAATAAATGGATAGAATGTTTACCTTGTCCGGTAAAGAAGACCGTCGGGGCCGAGCGTGGCCAGAGAAGAGCCGGACGCAGCCTATCACCACACATCCTCTGCCAGTCCGGCCACCGGCTTAAGACTGGCAGCAACCACCCGCATCTCTTGCATGAGGTACTCCAGCAGCTCTCCCAGCACCCTGGGAAGCAGAGGGTGGAGGCGCGGGTGTGTGTGGTGCTGCAGTGAGCTGCTGCTTCACCGTGCTTGATGGTCAGCTCCTCAGCTCGGCCGTCGCGAGGGACAGCGGGTTACCTTCTGTCCACAAACTGAACGTCTTCTCTAATCAGTTTCTTACGCTGTACGGTGAAAATTTGCTTAGTAAGCCTGAATTATTTTGTTTCTAATTAAGATGTCGGCAGGAAACATGCCATAAGCTGCCTGTGTAAAAGGTGGAATCATCGGTTGTGTGTGTGTGTGTGTTTACAAACTCAAAGTGCCCAGGTTTTGAGCAGACATTGGTGACCGGGTTGTGCTGAGGAGACTATTAGTTGAAAAGATGCATTCTCAGTTTAGCCCCAACAGGCGGTCCCTAATCATTAACCTACCCAGTGTACAGGAAGCTCGCTCCCCCACCACTCCCACGGCTAACATCAAGGTGAGTGACCTAGTTACTCTCGTCTACCTCATTTCTTGCTACATATACACTGTTTATTTACCTAAGTCGTGGACTATACTCCTCAGAATTAATATATATGCTTCCTGGCTGGTCAGTTTAAGTCGCCGTAATGACCTTCAGACTCTCGTCTCGGGTCAGAAATAAGGGAAGTTTCTCAAGCCTTTTGAAGATTAGTTATATTTTCAATTCTGACACAATGTTTGTATTCCCTTCGCAGCTCGAAGACTGTTTTTTTTCAATTGTCTGTTAATGTTGACATTGAATGTTTTTAATTTGATTTTTGTGGGTTGAGGCATTAAAACTGAACTATATTTCGTGGTTCGACGTCTTCACGTGCTCGTCAGTAGATCATGGCCCTAATTAAAGTTGACTTGAATTATCCATTCTTGTTTGTGCGAGTTTCAGATTGTTCCTGTCTTTTCCATGTCAATCTTTTAATTGGAAGTGATGCCAAATATCGTGAAGAATTGAAGGTAATTCAGAGTGGGAAGTTTTCCTACCGTGCTGTGTAAGTAGGGAAAATGTGAGAAAAAATAATGAGTCAGCCTCTCGCCACTTAAGCTAACCAAACATAATGAGGCGCATTAGGCCAGAAAATATAATGAAAAGACGCTTGTTTGATCTACTGGGCGGTAAACATTTACCCATTTTCCTTAGTTTCTTTCTTAGTATCAACAGCTTGATAGGCTGTTGTTGTTGTTTTAGATTCAGCTACTTGGAACAAAAAGTTTCAAGTAGCACGGGCTATGGTGAGCCCGTAGTGGACTTACCTGGCACAGGAGCGGGGCTTGACAGGCTTCTACCTCCGATAATGTATACCAGTAAACCAGATTAGACGTAAACAGCTTGACCGGATGTCTTAACAAAGGAAATGCACCTTCATAATGCCTGATATGTAGTAGGTGACTCCTTAAAAAATGCTGTAGGACATTCTCATTGGTATTTCGTTTATAAAATATAATGCTGCCGGGTATTTATGAGTATGCTGATATAATAATATACAATACATTAAGGCTAGCTTGTTAATTCGTAGCGCAAACATGACCTCTAAGTCTTTAACATTAATTGATTTGCAGGCTAGGCTCATTTAAGGTTGACAGGAGGTTAATATATTCTATAAATACTAATCACGCTGAATAATCTTCGACTTTCAGTACTGGCCTCGGGCCAAAACTCCAATCATATTAATAGTAACACTTGAAACTTTTGCTGTTTAGTTTATCAGTGATCTTGAGAACTCTGTGACCCGACCCGGGTTCGAACCTGCATTATCAGTGCTCACCCCCTGGTATACACAGTAATATAATTACTTTCAATCCATCCGCCTGAAATGATAGTACTTTTTGTAATTATGTGGTCGATCGTACCAATATGTAGTTATGGAGCCCAAATAAGCCACTTTTTGTATTTTTTTTGTTAGAATCCAGAACAAATAAAGCTAAAACCAGACTTAAATATTCCTAGGTCTAGTATGGCACATATCTGTACTATATTAGGCCTCGGTGTATTAGGCGTAAGATGGTTAGGTTAGGTTAAGTTAGGTTTTATTAGCAACATAAATATCAACTTTTCCGGTTTGTCCAAATTCAATAATACAAAACTTTCTATTGGCCCATCACGTCAATATTAGTATGACCGCATCGTTACTATATGTACCTTCATTTTAGGAGTGTTGTATTGTTGTAGGCTGACTACTTCACCAACGTTGTCTGTGTTTGAAACAGTATATGATACATTTACTACAATGTACTACATCGTTAGTTCATTTCCTCGTTAGTCTAAATTGATCTCTTTACTAACTTTTTTATCTGTAATATTTAGTATACGGAAGAATAATCACGAAATTATTAATTTTAATATATATTAAGCGCCACACCCTGACTTCTGTAATGTTTAGTATATTGAATTACGGCTCCGACTTTTGTAATGTTTATATTATATTGCATTATTTTGGACAGTTACATAGATCTGCAACTCTATTTTCAAACCAATATTTACATTATTTTTCAAATTCAAAATGCGTTTCACAGGCACCGGTAAAATACTATGAGAAACAGATGAGAGGACTTACGGAGACACGGGCATGAGAGGCTACTCATGCCCGTGCCTCCTCTTGGGTGACTTAATTTTCATCAATCAGTCACATAAGAGGAACAGTATGAGGCCAAACCGCATGGGATACCATGTGCGTTTTCAGTGCGACTGAGCGCCTAATGTTTGTGCACACAGCGTGTGTGTACTTTTGATGGGAAAAAAGTGGGGACGGGGAGCTATAATTATTAGATTTACCCAGTTTTATTACTTCATTCACTTCATTGTTTATATGATCATTAATTAATTTTTTCAACTAGCCTAGACTAACCAGATCCCTCATGAAGTTTGAGGGAGGAGAGGTCTGGTCAGAGGCCGGGCAGTGGGTACGTTGCTTCCCAAAACCATCGCAAGATACTATAATTTCTGTCTCCTCAGTTGTGATTCCCACGCTTTATGGCAGTGCAAAGTATATATATTCCTTCTTGCAGTCGTATCCTAGTGCTGCACCCTCCACCATACTGCCTCCCTTCACCCACATAACACTGTCTCTCTCTCTCTCTCTCTCTCTCTCTCTCTCTCTCCTTTTGGTCCTG